AAGAGTAGTTAAAGATATGTTGATAATAACAAAAGTATATATAATTGAGCATCAGCTAGCCTTAGAAGATTTTGTAAGGACCAATCTCAATCATGGTGTAATGGTTTACATTAAGTACAAAATTTCACATGTCGGTGACAAAGATACATACAAAATATTCAAAGTTAAGCAACTTGGTATAATTTACTTATACAAAACATTGTTCAAATTGATAAGATCTCTACTACATTAAATGAAAATTTTGAGCAATGAAAAAAAAATTAAAAGAGAATGATTAAGCATTACTGAAACAAAAAATCAACTATATGATATGTAATTTAAGTGGGCAAAAAATTGATAATCATAAGTAAACATTGCTAGAAAATAGTGATATTTAAGTATGATGAGTTCATCATATTCATCTACAATACAAAAGAATGATATAAATTACAAGATAAATTCCAAAATAAAGGATATGTGATTATAATGAATAAGTGTCTCATCAATATTGATATATCACAAGAAAATTCACTTCATCATGCACAAATCTATATACATTGTGGATAAAATAACCTTCAGAGTCAAATTCAAGATCATTTGAACTTAGATTTTCACAGTTTTATAGTCAAAGTAAATGCGCCCACACTATGAACTCAACAACGCTAGAAGTGATTCTATCTGAATTTAAATGAGCTCAAATCAAACACGATAAGTATAATTAGAAACTTCAAAACTTTTATTGAAGGGTGAAACGATTTTCAAATTTGGCATGCTTATAGTCAAATTGAATAATTTAATGAGAGAAATCCAACAAGCTTAAGATCATTCAATTTCAAAGTCATTATAACACTTAAATACAAAAGTCATTATAACACTTAAATACAAAAGAATAATATATGATTAAGGAGATCAATACAAACTGTCTGAAAGTATGTTTTGAGAAATCGACTAAATTTACAATTTACCAAAAATGCCTTTCCTAAAAATTTTATAAATAGGATCGCATTTTCAACAAGAGTAAGAAAGGAAGCAAAGATTTAAATTCGCGCTCTTTAAAAAAAAATTACAATAAATAACCACCAACACTTATCATCGGCCATCATTAGTGGTTATTATAACCCAATTATCATCTCTAACTATTGTAACAGAGTTATTAACTCCAGAGATAGTATTATTAAATCATTGTTACTCAGTTAACATTATTGTTTGTTAACCTTTATTATAGCAACATAATGACAAACAAGTCTTTCTAACCCCGCAACTCTATCTTATTCACTTCTAGAGAGAAGTGGAACTCTGTAACTTTAAATACATAATGGATTAATTTTTTTCTCTTGGTTGATTTTTACAGGAAAAAAAATCTGTTGTCTATTTGTCTTCTCTTTGTGTGTCAAATCTTCGTGCAATTCTAAGATGTAAAATATTTACTCCATCATCATGAATCTTCTAGCACACAACAATTACTAAAAAGAATAACATTAGAGAGACCTGTTGAAACTTTCATGTAAGGATAGTTAGAAAGGCTATGCTACATGCATCGGGATATTGAGTAACGAACAAGACACTAATAGCTAAATTAATCTATAAATGAGAAACATAAAACAAATGTATGGCAAAATCAAATATGGCAAGTTAAGAAAAAATTATATTAAACAATACTGAAAGATGACATGAAGTGAGAATTAGATAGCGCCAAATATACAGACTATTTGAATATGTACAACAGAAGGAGAAGATAAGCCTAAGAAGGGCAAGTAAAATTAACGTGAGAATTAAAAAGGACAATCGGCAGAATGGAACAAACATAGCTAGAAGCAAGAAAAAAAAAATTAAACTAAATTAACGTCTCATGCAATTGAACAGAGAATGAAGATTTTCAAATATATCTTAAAATAATCGTTGTTAAACTAATGACGATTAATAATGTGAAGGTTCCAATTCTCGCAGAAAATTAGTTAAACGGCAAGGTGGGAATACTTTGCAGGTATGCAACTCTTCAAATTAAAAAAGAAATGAACCTTACAAAGCGGTGAGCTCCTCGGACGGATCGTTGTCCTCCCCGGGCTGAGAGTAATGGTCCTTGGAAGGATCTTTGCTCCTGTTCCTGCGACCGCTCCCGCTACCGCTTTTCTTTTTTTTCCTAGAACTATGACCCATGAGGTACCGCTTCCCCTCCCGCCACGACAAATATCATATTAGCCGATGCAAAATTCAAAAACCAAAACCCTCGAGAAGGAAGAGGCATGCACGCCGTAACAGATACTTAAATTGCGCCGTGTCTTTGGATGTTTTCGATTCTCCAACAAGGAGCGTGGTTCCGAATAATGGCGGAATGCAATCTGAACGCTGCTCAGGATCGTCTCGGAATCAAACACGACGTTCGCTGGCCGCGGACAGGCAGACGATTCATGCACGAAGCCCCGACAGAAAGGAAATTTGATTCACAAGACTCGTAATCCAAGTGCTCGCATATATATACATATTCTTCAAAATTCAATTTAGACGAAAAGATATTTCTAAGCATGGGAGATTTGAAGTTTAAGAGAAATATATTTGAAAGAAAAGTTGGATCAACATATACCATATATTTTATAATGGAATACAAGTTAAACTCTCTCTTTGCCAATATGATTCAAATCTATAATACAAGAATTTGAATATTATTCAAACATTTTGTAAACTCTACTTAAGCTTGTTAGGCCTTGTTCTAAGATGATTCTAATTTTATTTTGATAGAGTAAAAAACATATCCAATAAGGTTTGAATATGAATTAAATGGTGTTTCAACAATGTTCAAAAAGGTTCCAAATAGATATTACCAAAATGAGAGATAAAAGGTTCAATCATAGTAATTATTACATAATATATTATAAGATAGATACAGTTGAGTAACTAGTACTTTTATCATATCTCAATAGCAATAATTTCATCATCACAAAACGAATCAAAGACATGAATTTAAAATTTACATTAAATCTAAGCAATTATAATGTTTTTGCAATATCAAAAAAAGCAAGTAAAAACTATGATGAAGTTCTTGGACACTTATCATACATGTAACTTTATTATGGTCTCCCACATCATCTTGGCTACACCTATATTGGATCACATTTTCTTTCTCCTATTAAGAGCTATCATTCCTCGGGTGGCAACCTCTTAGCTTTATATATTGAGGACAGCATAATAGTAGTCTTTATTTCATTCAGAAGCTCCCAGATGCTTCCTTTGTCAACTTAATATTTGTTTTCAGCATAGGCACCTAAACATAATTTTTCTTAATAAAAATTCAAACATAAGCTATAATAATTGACCCAAATCTCAAACTATTGCAACGAGATTTACACGAGAGATCCACAATTTTATATTTTCTACGTGTACATGTCCTGGCCCATAAATCAATGTCACTGTTAAGGATATACAATCCAAACTTTGGTGCATATTTAGGATAATGATTTTTTAATTTTTTTCATTGAATTATTTTTATTCATTATAATGTAGAATTTATAGAATAATCATTTCATCATTATGTTACAATTTAAATAACATATTAACTCTTTATATGTGTGCACTCTTGGTGACATTATTAGAAGTCAAATGATATTTCTTATGATAATTAATTCTGAACTTTATTATGATATTATTACGACATGATGAGTGCAAACTTCGTGGTTTCTCTTAAAAAATAGATGGTAGGCATTACTGTTATTGTTATGTTTATCAATGATTAATAACAAGTTCTTCATTATGTTTATTAACTTTCTCTACCATGTCATAAAATAATTCAAGACTTATTATTTTTTTAATTTAATATTGTAAATTCCATTTGATGAATCTAATTTGTTGTATTCTATCACTACAAAAATTAAAGTACCTCAATAGTGTATTTTCAAAAATATTATTTAAATTTAACATTGTGGATATGCATTCTTAAACCTTTGAATAAAAATATCTAATAATCTAAATGTACTTGAAACATAATTCATTAGCATATTAAAAATTAACAATCATCCCTAAATTTTTTTCTATGGAGTACAATTAGATAAGATGGTAACTTCAAAAAAAAAAAATTTAGGGGAAAGAGCTGCACAGATTCATGTCTTGCACCTAAAAGAGTTTATGTGTTTTTTTTAGTCAGTTTTGCTTAAGGTATATAGGGGGTTACTTAAGCTTTGACATGGTTACTGGTATTGGGATTTAATAGCATTTTTAGATGAATATCCTCCAGATGAGATATTTTTGTCAACATAATTATCATTGGGGATGAACCTCTTAAATTGATATTTTAAGTCTACATAACTATTATCAAGTTTTGTTGTTTAAAATATTTGTATTTGTAATTTAAGAGCATTATTTTTAGAATGAGCCTCTTCAATTGAGATCCTTTGTTAGTGTAGTCATCATCATAAAATTTGAATGATTTTATCTTTTGATTTTAGACTTTATCTATTCTACTTGCTTGCTCGTAGAGAATCAAATCCATGATTTATGTATCACTTAAATTTAGTATAAAAATTTATTGTGTCATAAATCTTTTCAATGTTATCTTTATATGGAGAGAATCAAGTTTGTAAGCTGATTAAACTCATTATTATATTTTACAAGCATAACAATTTTGTGGGTTCTATTTTAGCATTTATTTTTGTATATGAGTGGAGATGAAAAAAAGCATCTACATTATATTAGATTTATAATATAAGATTTGTAATCACTCATTATTACAAAGCTTATCAACCTTTAATACTCATGGTGTGAGAGATTAAACTTACACGAACTTAAAAAATGTTATTGTAGTACGTTCTTAAAAAGAGAGGACTCATGATGCACCACTAAGGAGGACGCAGCTTAGAAATGCCAACAGTCGCAAGCACGGAGTCTTGGAGCGACTAGAAAAGAGACATTCCAAAGAAACAACCACAGTGCTTGCTTCAAATTCATGAAGAAGAAGTCTACGATCCGAACTTGAAAGAGACTTCCACAAGCCCGCCGATTACAGAGGACGAGCCAGAGACATTTACAGAGCCTACATCTTCAAAGATCCCCGATGAGCTTTGTGCAGGATGCCCCAAATCCCAAGGAGAAAATCATCAACATCTTCCACCTGGAGAGGTACGGGATGCTTGAAGAATACGTAGCCGCCAGCATGAGGCTCATAAGTGCAGACTAACCAGAGGTCGAGCCATATATACCACAGTTTGCAGAGTTGCCCCTGTCATGGATTTCTCCAGAGGATGGGATAGAGAAGCAACCCTGGCATTCACAAAGGATTCCTACAATAGAGTTAGAAAGAATGAGTAGGGTCTGGAAGCAAGAGTTTGAGTATTATGAAGAAATTTGAGAAAAATTTGTTAATATTATGGAATTATTGGAACTATACACCGAAGTATTCTTAGAAAGCAATGAAAGAAAGATTCTTGATTGCATTTTTGACTTAAAGGACAAAGAACGAGCCGGTTTATTGATGAAGAAAACATGTTTAGAACCACAGAAATGGATGCACGAAAAAGGCAAGATCACCATCTAGTGTGGTTGTTGTTATCACTACGTCAGAGCATAGAGGATATGATATATGATACTACAGATTTCATCAATGTATTTAGCATATTGTCTTGGGAAATTTCGATATATGATCAGTTGTATTGCATGTTTGAATCCGTTTAACAAAGTTTATTTCCAATTTCAGCATATGTTGTTAACTTGTCTCTCTTGTGCGATTGATGAAAAGCTGCATGACCACATGTTGGTCCTAAATTATAACAAACAAAGAATGATATAAAAAAAATCTAATAATGAATGAAAATTAAAATTCATAACTAAAGGAAAATAAAAATTTAATTAAAATTGATAATCTTGATAATGACAATGGGATCAGTACCTAAATTCTGATTCCCATCTCTTGAGATGGGTGTGAGACCCCCTTAAATGGAGTAAGGCATCATATTCTCATCCTTTCGAGATCAGTGTGAGACCCCCTTAAATGGATTAAGGCTTCTGATTCTTATCTCAGAGTTGGTACCTAATTCTAATTCTCATCCTGGGATCAGTACCTAAATTTAAATTCTCATCTCTTGAGAGAAGTGTGAGACCCCCTTAAATGGAGTAAGGCATCCTATTCTCATCCTTTCGAGATCAATGTGAGACCCCTTAAATGGATTAAGGCTTCTTATTCTCATTTTACTAAGGTTGGTGCCTAAATTCCAATTCCCATCATGTGATCAATACCTAAATTCTAATTCTCATCTCTCGAGAAAGGAGCGAGACCCCCTTAAATGGAGTAAGTCATTCTATTCTCATCCTTTCAAGATTTGTGTGAGACCCCATTAAATGGATTAAGGTTTTTAATTCTCATTTCGGAGTTGGTACCTAAATTCCAATTCCCATCATGGGATCAGTACCTAAATTCTGATTCCCATCTCTTGAGATGGGTGTGAGACCCCCTTAAATGGAGTAAGGCATCATATTCTCATCCTTTCGAGATCAGTGTGAGACCCCCTTAAATGGATTAAGGCTTCTGATTCTTATCTCAGAGTTGGTACCTAATTCTAATTCTCATCCTGGGATCAGTACCTAAATTTAAATTCTCATCTCTTGAGATAAGTGTGAGACCCCCTTAAATGGAGTAAGGCATCCTATTCTCATCCTTTTGAGATCGATGTGAGACCCCCTTAAATGGAGTAAGGCATCATATTCTCATCCTTTTAAGGTCGGTGTGAGACCCCCTTAAATGGAGTAAGGCTTTCAATTCTCATTCCAGGGTTGGTAACTAAATTCCAATTCTCATCTTATGATCAATATTAAAATTTTGATTCCAATCTCTTGAGATAGGTATGAGACCCCCTTAAATGGATTAAGGCATTCTATTCTCATCCATTCAAGATTGGTGTGAGACCCCCTTAAATTAAGTAAGGCTTTTGATTCTCATTTTGGGGTTGGTACCTAAATTCCAGTTTTCGTTTCTGGGGTCAGTACCTAAATTCTGATTCCTTTTGTTATCTCTTAAGTTAGATGTGAGTCCCATAACTTTCTTTCTCAATGTAACATATTTGAAATCTCCTTGTGATAAGCCTCCATTCTATTTCCTTTCGTTACGTCCTGTGTTGGATGTGAGTCTTAGAGCTTTCCTTCTCAATGTAACAAATTTGAAATTTCCTTGGGATAGGCCTTCATCCTATTCCCTTTCATTATCTCTTGGGTTGGATGTGAATCCTTGAGCTTTTCTTCCTAATGTAGCACCTCTTTTCGTCGATCGGTCTCTTCGAGCTGGATGTGAGTCCCTATGTTGTTCATCTCGACCCAGTCTTTTCATACAACCTTAATTTTTGAATTTTTCTTAAAATCGAAATCGAATTAATTTCACTAAAATTGAAATCTTTCATTTAAAATCAAATTGAATCTTCCTCGTGACCATCAATGTCCTTGATGGTTGTCTCCAAAAACTTGCCTTTCGATCCCTA